TAAAATCAACAGAATTTATTTTAAATTGACAAATTAGGAATAACAATCTATTCTAAAACAGGTATCAAAAAGACAAATGAATAGGCATGATAACTGAAAGTAGTGAATATAGTGCCCCCCCCCTTGCCCTCCCCCTGCGTGCGCCCATGCTCTCAATTGTTTAAATTTCCGTTTAAAAAATATTTTATGGCTAATATCATCCTACAATTTATATTGTAGTCCTTGATCTTTATGTAAGAAACCCTGATGTTAGTGCTATTTTGTGCAAATAACCCTTTAATCCCATTATATATCCCCGAGGAACAATATAGAGCCTTCTGGAACATTCTAGATTAAATTAACATCCCCCATGAAACTTGTAAGAAATTACTTTCCTACGTAATTATTTCTCGAATGCGAAATTTTATAAAGCTAATTTGTTCTACTATAACTATAGAACAGTTAAATTAAAATATGGGCACTGGTGGGGGCCCATTGAATAAAGTACAGTTTTAGTTATGTCTCAGATGGTGGGGAGAGGAGGGGTCTGTAAAAAACATTCAGATAAATTATAGAGTGAACATTTAAAATGTGTCCCATTAAAAGCTGTTTGAAAATGCCATAGAGATAGCTTTTTAAAATTATCGAAATTTTTAGAAATTTCTAGAGTGGCCCTGCATGGATTGAATATTATTAGTTATAAATCCGGTGATATTTCAATACAGACAATGAAGTGTATTGTTACCAGGCTACGCATAGATCTATATATTCCCATAGAAACTATAGATTTGTCTAAGCCGATTGATTTTTATGTAGCTTAAATTATGAAAACTAAAATTGGGCCCTTGGCCTCAGAGGCATGGATATTATAAGTTCAGTACCCATCGTATTTGGATATGGATAATAAAGTGTATGTGTTTTTAGTTTGGTCAAGAGTCATCTATTCGTGTAGGACTATTTGTTGTTAATTTTAATCACATTGCATATTTAAGAAATAAAAACATTTTGGGCCCCCGGTCCCAAACGGACAGTTATAAAAGTTAATAGTCGCAAAAGAGTTCCTTCCGGAAATTTGTGGATACATGTGCCAAGTTTGGTCAAGATCCATAAATCCATGTAAAACTAATGAGGGACAAACCCGCAAACCCATAAACAAACATAATATATAAGTATATATATATATATAAAAAAATATATATATATATATATATATATAATATATATATATATATATATATATATATATATATATATAAATATATATATATATATATATATATATATATATATATATATATATATATACATATATATATATGTATGTATGATAAAATATAAAACATTTACATAAATACAAATATAAACACATATATAAAACGAAAATTTAAAACAAAATATTAAACACAAATTTCAAACAAAAATAAAACACCTATAATGCACAATGAAACTCTTTACTGTTTTACTTTATTACATTACAATGTTTTGGAATATGTTGTGTTTGTTTAAATTACAAACAATTATAAAATTAAGCATTTATAGTAGGATGACCAAATGTACCGTAAAAACGTGATTGTTCCATTTTTTCATTGTCCTACCCTTTGTCCCAAAAAAGTTTCTCGGGACGCCTAAATGTCCCGTTTTTTTAAACCAAACACAATTTAAAAAAAAAAAAAACTGCCTAATTTTTAATATGTCTTCAAGTAATATTTTAACTAGCTGTTTAGCCAGTACCAGAAGTGATATGGGCTCGCGTGACGGCTGTACTGTTCCCCCTCCACCAGTGTCCCTGCCATAGATCTTATATTTAAATGTATAACAAACGACACGTGACGTGAAGCAAAAAAAAAAAAAAAAAAAAGGGTGGGGGTGGGGGAAAGGATGTAGCTGCATGCAGAAAACAATTTTGACTCCGCTACCGCTAGGGGTAATGTGTTAGTCTTATGTGTGATCCCTGCCGGGCTGTTTGTGTCAGAGTGACAGGTTTTTGTTTTGGATGTTGAACTTTATTCTTTAATTTTATATTATTTTCTCACGTAGACAATAATTATGCCCAAGAGTCAATGCAAGTTTATGAAGGAGCATTTCAAGGACTGCAACTATTTTAAAAAGGGGCACAATGATAGTGAAGCCAAGTGCACAAATTGAAATAATGTTTTTAGCATTGGTATCACCCCCCCCACCCCTCTAGGGTGTCATTGAAAGTGTCCCGTTCACGATTTGGTCACCCTAATTTAGACCGGTAAGGACAGCCTATGGAAAAATTAAATGCAAGATCTTCCTGAGACTGATTTAATGTTTTTTCAAGTTATAAACATTTACCTGTAAACACCTTCAAAAAAATTATGAATCAAAGTTATCAAATAGTAAAAATAATGACCATAGCAAATTAAAACATCATTCCACTACTGATTTTTTAACATAACTCTAAGTGAATTTTAGAAGCCTATCTTTGATGACGCGAGGCTAGACTAGAAATATTGGCCACAAGGCTCACGCAAAAAATTTAAAAATAAAACAAATTATGTGCCGCCCCATCTGCACAAAAGTGGAGTCAAAACATGATTTAAAGGTCCATTGAAATTTCGTTGAGTTGTTAGTGTCAGAGCAACATAACATGGAGCACCAGGATCGGGATCCAACCGGGATCGAGATGCATTCAGGATCGGGATCCAACCGGGATGGGTTTGGGGATCCCATTGGGAGCTTACCGGTATCGGGATCCCATTGGGAGCTTACCGGTATCGGGATCCCATTGGGAGCTTACCGGTATCAGGATCCCATTGGGAGCTTACCGGTATCGGGATCCCATTGAATAATGGGATCTTACTCGGAAACATCAGAATTGGAATACCAATCGGGTCGGAATCTCATCGGCGTCAATATCTCAAATGGGGTAGGGATCGTACCGGGGCTCGGGATTCCAATGACGTCGGAATCACATCGAGATATGGAATCCCATTTTGAGACGGAATCCCACTAAATCGGTATCACAACGGGATCGGGATCGTTGTACACCGACGAAGATAAAGAAATTATTCGTTGTTGTTTTTTTCTCACATTTAATTTTAGTACTGTTTCTAAAAAGTTTCTCTCCAAATGAACGCATAAGCCGGTGCACTTCTTGACACAAAATTAGGAAATATAATGATTACTTAAATGCAAAGACCTTTCTATATAAATTTTAAAAATTCGATTTGCACATGTGTAGATGATTCCAAAAGAAATAATATAGAAAAAATAACAACACCTAATTAATCCTTCTTAAAATTCAAGCATTTTAAATAGAAATGACTTGGTGGGGTTTTAACCTTTTCTTCATCACCTTTCACATCAACTTTCAATAAAATTTGGTACAAAGTTTAGGAAGAATTCATCGTGAATAAATGATTGTTCCGTTAGTTCTTTGTGCAGAGAGATTTAAGATTGGAACATATGTGAGCGAAAAACGGGAATAGAGTAGCGAAAAAAGACAGCGGGGGGGGGGGGGTAGAAAAAAACATGGGAAGCCAATGTTCCCTCTAAGTTTTGCTGTTTCATTTGCAAAATCATATATTTGTGTGCAACGTTTTACAGCCTCAATTTTTTTGTGTGAAAAATTTTACAATGGGAGGGAAAAAAGGGAAAAAAGGAGGGAAAAAAGACGGCGGGGGGGGGGGGGTAGAAAAAAACATGGGAAGCCAATGTTCCCTCTAAGTTTTGCTGTTTCATTTGCAAAATCATATATTTGTGTGCAACGTTTTACAGCATCAATTTTTGTGTGTGCAAAATTTTACAGCCGACAAACACACTTACATGAAAATTTTCTGCGCTGTACTTAAAACTGTGGCGCAGCTTAAATGGAACATTGATGGGAGCGCGTGGGAAAAGTATAAAATGTCAGAGAGAGAGAGAGAGAGAGAGAGAGAGAGAAAGAGAGAGAGAGAGAAAAAATAGTTAAATATTATTATAACTTGCAATTACTTAATAATAAAAAAATATTTATTTATAAATTTCAGAAATTCAAACAAAATAGCAACACCAAAACATTGAAGTATTTCAAATAGTCTGCTTATCATTTTAAGAAGCTTTTATGTTACCACTTGTAAGGACAGGACGGAATGAACTAAGTTGGTTCATCCAAATTTCATGGACAATAAATGTTTTTAGAGTGGGAAAAAAGGAAATATGTTTAATACTTTCTAACTCAAATTATTATTGGCTGAATTTACAGGCATTTCCAAATAATTTAAACAATATCTAACTCAATATTTTTTTGTGTGTAGCTTATTCACTACATTAATATATATATATATTTATACATATAAAGATCGCTGCTATCGGTCAACCATTTGCTTTTACAAAACTTCTTTGTCCTCTGGTATTAATTTTAAAAGAAAATACTTTTTGGAGCATAGAAACTTGCAGTGACGAGCTGGCCAGCTGTGTGGAGAAGATAAGTTTTCTTATCTGCAATGATAAACAGCAGAGCAAATGTTACTATTCCTGAACCCTTCATAAGCCATCTGAAATGATTGTTGGTGTATGCTTTTTTTTAATGTTCTTTAGTGAATGAGTGTCAATCGCCTTCACGGGGTCAGTTTTAATCACATTTAATGAGACAGTGGGAATCACCTTTAGTGGATGAGTGTGAATCAAATCTAGTGAATTAGTGTGAATCACCTTTAGCGAATGAGTGTGAATCACCATTAGTGAATGAGTGGAATCGCCTTTAGCGAATGAGGGTGAATTAGTGTATGTCCCTCAAAATAAGACGTGTGACGGACGTCCGTCCCAATAGTTTCAGGTTCGTTGTGGTTGTTTTTTTTCCATAAGCCTTCTTTTCCACTTTTCATGATCTCAAACCAGCGTTATCTCATTACACTACAAATCCACTTCTCTATTCCGTCCAGCTACTTTACTGCTGTTTGCTTAATCAGCAGATTGAAAAAATTGACCTTCCGATGGTTCCACCTAGATCACGTGATCTCAAAAAAAACAAAAAAACAAAAAAAAAACATAATTTTTCTATTAACCACTGACGTCACATTATTGGTATCAATCTATTTAAGGGCTGAATCTCGTGTGTCCTGTCCCCATCTCAAACCAAACCACCATGAAGAACTTGATCGTTGCCGTTTTCGCTCTGCCTTTGGTGCTCTCCCAGCTGTCGGACCCGACCAAAGTATGCGCCCCTGACAAGCTCCAAAGTGACGTTTATGATTTTAATAACAATGTGAGTGAATACATTTAGTTTTCATAGGTTGACAACTTTATTTTTTTAAAAATATTTTTACAGACTTTTATTTACTGAACGTCCTACGCCTGCCAATGTCGACGGCCTTATATTTGAGAATTCCCCATCAGCCAGTGAAAATCTACAAGAATTTATGTTAAAGCGATGTGAAAATTGACATTTTTTATTTCTCGGCAATTTTATGATACGATGTTAAAACGATTGTTTTAATTTTCATTAAAGATGATGGATAACAGAATATTTTTAATAACTTTCGAATTATAGGAAAGAAATTATAATTTTGATTGTTAAGAATTAGAAGCTTTAATATTTTTGTTGTTGTTAAAATGTCTATTTCTATTTCATATTCACAACTAAGTTATTGAAAGAAATGTGTCAATTTTTTTAAAGTCTTTAATTTTTTTAGAAAATACTTCAATATCAGTTTATTAATATTTTCCCAGGCCTAAACATATCTTATTCAACTGTTTATTTAATTGCCCGGCTTGAACGCGGTCTTTCATTCATCATTTATTTTAAAAGATGCTAATTTCTGCTTGATTGTCTTTTGAATGCGAATTTCAGGATTTCGGAAAGGTTGCTGCAGATTTCACAAAAAATTTGAGCTCAGTGGCATTCGTCAAATCTGGCCTCAGAGCACTGTATGACTTAAGCTCAGTAAGTTCTTATTTTAATTTTGTAGTAAAGTCTCTGAGCACGTTGTATAATTACAACAGCATCATCTCAGAGATGAATCTATTTCATCTGAAAAGGTCTTTTTTAACTTTCAAAAAAGATACATCACACATAGACTGTACAATTTCACCTGAAGAAAAGGAAATATTTAACCATCTGTTGTTTTTTTACATTTTATTTGTAAACTTTTTTTTTTTTTTTTTTTTTTTTGAGAAATAAAAATTGAATACGTACAATTTCAGTAATGAAATCTTTCTTTATTCAAACAGCTCAAAGGTTATCTGTTTATTTTTTTTTTTTTTTTTTTTTTTTTTTTAAATTTTTTTTTTTTTTTTTTTTTTTTTTTTTTGAGAAATAAAAATTGAATACGTACAATTTCAGTAATGAAATCTTTCTTTATTCAAACAGCTCAAAGGTTATCTGTTTGCCAGCGATGGTTCGTGTACTTCTTTTAACCTGGACCAGACTCAAGTGGTCACCCAGTGTCTACCAGGTGTGTTACAATATCCCCCAGGATTTATTCTATAAATTTATACTCTGATGACGGAGCCCGCAGCAAGAGTCGATGGTATCATATTGTTTCCTAGATTGAGAAGCAACAAATCATGAGCAGACGTTATACCAGACGTTATCCCTCTAAACCACTCTTACGAACTGCATGGCCATATTCTTGAGCCAGTTTCCTCCGTAAAGTACTTGGGTGTTACCATTCAAAGAGAGGTCCGCAGGGACGAGCACATTAACAGTGTGTGCAACCGGGCAAACAAGACCCTGGGGTTCCTAAGGCGCAATCTGAAGATCGGAAACTCAAGCGTGAAAGAAAAAGCCTATAAAGCCTTTGTCCGGCCTATTTTAGGGTACGCTTCTACAGTCTGGGACCCATTTACCCAGAAAAGCATCAACAGGTTGGAGGCGGTCCAGCGACGGGCAGCACGCTTTGTCATGAACCGCTACAGAAACACCTCAAGTGTTGGCAGCATGCTGGAAACACTGGGCTGGTCTACATTGGAAGAACGACGACGACTATCCAGGCTCTCCATGTTGTACAAGATAAAAAATGGGCTGGTCCACTGCTTCGGAATCAAACAGAAACTCGTTCATCTTCCCCCTAGACTGCGACGAAGCCACGACAGACAGTTCCGGCTGGTAAAAACAAGAACCAAGTACAGGAGCTCATCCGATAGTGGCAAACTCTCGACACCACGTGTTTGCCTTGAGACTTACGGAAAGCGCACTTTCGCATTTGCTGGTCCACTAATTTGGAACGCCCTTCCTGTCAATCTCAGAAACAACCAGACACTGGAGTCCTTTAAAACCGATTTAAAGACACATCTATTTCGCAAACACCTTCTGGGATGATTTTCAACATTATTTTCCAGTTAATGCATAATGGCTGTGTTGCTTATGGTTGAAATGGCTAGAAAGACTTTGCCATTGTATGCTTGTACTTAGTTTTTGTCGTGATGCATAATGGCTGTGTTGCTTATGGTTGAAATGGCTAGAAAGACTTTGCCATTGTATGCTTGTACTTAGTTTTTGTCGTGTTGCGTTTGTTTTAAATGTGGTAAACTATAGATTTGTTTTTTTTTTGACTTTGTACCGCGCTTCGAGCCTTTGGGGATGAAGCGTGTTTTTGAAATGAACTTTATTATTATTATTATTCCTGCCGAAGACAATAGGGTACTGGAGCAAGCTTCCAAAAGCAACAGTTGAGGCAGCTACACTCGACACATTTGTGTCTATTGCCTCCTTAATTCCAACCCCCAGTTCATAACACCACTGCTGAGTCGCCCTTGCAACCAGTGAAGCATCCCATTGAAACCCATGCACAGTAACATCGCAAACCCCTCTAAAACATAGGAGCCAGAATGATCAATTCATTGATCGTGGGCCCTCAAAATAAAGAAGAAAAAGAAGAAGTAAAGAGTTGACGACTTTATCATACGACGTCCAACATATTTAGACTTTTCTCCTAGAAAATTAGCCAAGAAAAGATCTCACTGCCATCAACATACCTCATTTTTTAAAAAAATAACCAGACCTTTTTGATACAAATCTCAAAATGGAAAGAAAAATTAATAATTAAAATTTCACACAGATTATCTCATTATTATCTAATTATTATCTCATTATAATATTATAAGAAACTTAAGAAACATATTTACTAGTTCCACATCAATCAATGATCCTTATAATTATTCTCACTTACATTTATGCGCCTTACAATACAAATATTTATAAAAATTATCTTACTTCACCCATTTTAGCCAACTCAAGACAGCTGTCAAACACCACCACCACAATTGGCCTCGCTTCCAGCGGAGGACTTAAGATAGTCGCCTACGAGGTTCCTGTAACGGCCACTGTCAGCATTAGGCTTGCCTTCACCGACTCAACGCCTGCCTACCCAGTTCTTCGTCAAGTTATCGGTAAGTTGCCGGCTGCTAGCCACATCCTTAGCGATGACCTCTCGCTCAAGACTGAGACGTAAACCATCGTGCAGTAATACTCAAAGTTACAAGGGATTCACAAACGCTTACACATTGATACTTTTGTACAGCGTCAGTATTAACACCTGTTAACGTTTTTGTATTCGTTTTGAGGGCCAGAAGAGTTTCAAACAACAGTTATAAAATACAAAATAGATCCTTCATACTACTGAAATACATTCACAATCTAATTTTTTTAAAAAAATATTTCTTCAACTCTCATATACGTTAATCATATTAATCGATTCCAAAGAGTTGAAACCAAATTATTTTGTAAACACGATTAAAAAATCTTTTTTAAAAAAAACTAGAGGCATATAAGACGCTTAAGTGGTACATTTAACTTTAAATAATAAGAGGAAATTGCTAGTTTATCAAAAATAGGGTTGTCCATCTCAATTCATATGGTTGCATGGGCGCCCGCAGAAAACTTTCTAGGGGGTGGGGGACAAAAAAAAATCGATTAACTTTCCAGGGGGGGGGCGAAAATTGTTTGGTAATGTTTTAATGTAGTTTTAATTTACTGTAGCGTATTTGTATGGTGAACGAACGGACAGGACATCAGCTTAGTTACTTTCTCTTTATTTTCTCTTTACTTTAATACATTTTTTGTCTATTTTTGTCTAAAAAGTTTTTATCCAATCAATCCAGGGAGGGCAAAAAACCCCTTGCCCCCCCCCCCTTGCGGGCGCCCATGTCTCGTTGCATCTGTACATATCTATGCTTAGCGTGCCCACATATACCTATGTTTGAAGGATTAAAACCATTCATGTTTATGTTCATAACGTTACAGGCACAAACAGCACTGTATCAGGCGGTGTTCTTTTCTTCACCAACCCAACCGTCACCATCGACCCAGCCCTGTTCGTCATCCCAGTGGTTTGTCCTCCCATCACAATCGGCGGCTAAATTTATCTCCAACTAACTTTCATATGTGCCTCGAAAACTTTATGTATTTTTGTTAATACTATGTATTGAAGTAATAAAATTGCTAAAATTTCACTGATCATTAAATTTTTTCTTCATAATCATAATTACTAGACCACGATTTTAGCTTTGAAGTCAAATGTTCATGTCAAGGATAGCAATTTTAAAAAACAACAAACAAATAAACAACAGGAAATAGCGTCAGGCCCAGTGTTCTTTTTTCTCTCGTTCCCCAGGAGAACACTGCAGGCGAAACCTGCAGGAGAACACTGCAGGAGAAAGAGTTAATCTTAAATTGTTAGATGTGTAAACAAAAAAAGTTACGCCCCACACTTAAAATTGAAATGCGAGTAGAGATAAAGTCTTTAAACATCAAGTCCTGCTTGATATGTATCAAAGATGTTATTTTTTGTGTGTCTTTTTCGAGTAAGGAGTGCAGCAGTCGGAGAATCCAATAAGTTTATTAATTATAATAAAAATGTTGAGGTTTTATTTTATTGTATATTGTCTATAAATTGTAATATACCAGAAATGTATCAAGCCAAAAGTAACCTTTCGAAAGATCGTTTATTGCAACGAGTGCAACGGACACATAAAACTTGCATTGAGAAATAGGACACCACATGCGGTGAGGGCTCGAGGTGGACAGTTCAGGTCGTTGATGTGAGTACACTGCGCTACATTATTTAAAAACTTTCTGCTTAACAGTCGTAGTTTGTGGAAGCTTGAATCGAAGGGCGGGACCAGTAGAGAAGAAGGTTTCTGCTAAGAGCTGACAGGACACATGAAAATACGACAAATAATAAAAATGCAAAGAGAGAAAGGCTCTTAGTCGAAACTTTTGTCTCTTACCTCTCAGTCTTTCGAGTGTCAGTCTTCCCCATTATATTTTTACACTACTTCCCCCTACAGCTTGAACGCAGTTCTTCGTTTAGGGTTCTGCTTACATTGTCACACAAGGTAGAGAACAATAAATGTTGACGATTTCACATTTGCATTGTTTTAACACAATTCACTAACAATTTAATGACCATAATAATAAAAACATACAATTCAGAATTATTCACGTATAAAATCTAGGGGGTTAATATAAACATTAATACCAATATACATATTAATATCTTGATGTATTACATGGGCAATGAATAATTCGTATTCATCCCTAAGATACTGTTACAAACTGCTGAATGATTATGAAGCTCAATGGCTTCGTTAAGTCTAGAGGGTAATCGTAAGCACATACTAGATCAAAATTATTACATTTGGTTCTTTATTCAACAACAATACGCCTTCTTCCTTCCAATCCCTGCAAAACACCAACAACTAAAACCCTAGCAGCCAACAACGTCATCTCTGGTAGCAACATTTTTACGATTAATATCCACACCATAACACGCACTCACTGAACACATTATTAACAGACGCCATACATTATTAACTATGGCCAAACCTTTAACTTATAAAAATATTAAGATTTTTAAGCAATCGATGGATCGAAGGCCTCAACGGAGTCCTATGTACGAAAAGTTTAAGTGTGTGACCTCAATTAAATATCATAAATCTGATCCATGCTAGAGTTAGATTTCCTTCTAGTGAGGGACTTTTTACCACAATTCATGATTAAAAAATAAAGCTCTACTCGGAGCCTTAATTAAGTACGAAAAATTGTCACATGCTTTCGCGGTCCAGCATTTGCTGACATTCACTGAATTGAATGTAAATCAAAATATCTGCAATATCTCATCTGGTGAATTGAATCGAAATCCAAATAACTGCAATAAGAAATTTGCCTCACAAGTTTTTTCAAAGATCCCACGTGAAGTTTGTTTCAACATTAAATTTAAAAAAATTGCGACAGAGAGAAATTCGCCACAAGTCGCACTAAGGAACGGGGTCCTGTGCAAAGCCAATACTACTAAGAAGGACATAATTAGGAATTCATGCTTGACAAAATAGAACGTAGGCAAAGACAGAAAGATGAAAAAAGCACTGCCATAAAGCTGAAAGGTTCTCCTCTAAATATTTAGCGTCTGGTGTGTCCTGCTTTCTTTTCACAACCAGCCCTCGTCCTACTAAACACGTTTTATCACGTAGGAAAAAAATGGTGGGGGGAGCAATGCTCACTTTATCTCACAGACGCCGCGCAGCAGTTCTGAGCATCCGCGAAGCAAATTTCTATGTAAGTGTGTGTTTGAGTTTGTTGGCTGTAAAATTTTGCACACAAAAATTGATGCTGTAAAACTTTGCATACCACTGCATGATTTTTCACACGAACCAACAAAACTTAGAGGGAACATTAGGGGTAAGCAGTCAAGCAGCGAGCATCATGCGAGACGGTTGAATTCAGATGAAATGTTTGCGGAAAACATTAGTGGCGGCACCTTTATATTAATCAAGAAATAGCCACGTGTAAGGTGTAAATAATATAGTATGTAGTTATCATTTGGTTTTTTGGAGGGCCATGGAGGGTCATGTTGGGGTGATAATCAGATAATTCCTTTTTTATTTTTGGTTTTAAATTATTTCCCCTTTGTTTTCGTATTCTTGTACATGTGTTTTTTTAAAATTGATTTCCCTTGTGATTGATATTGATTTCTTAAATTGATTTTAATTAAAGACAACATTAAATAAAACAAAGAGCATAATTTTTCTCTAATCGGACGACCGCATTGATACGACAAGCTGAGTAACAGTAAGCTGCTTGGAACCTTTTTTTTTATCTTCTAAAGATCAAGTGTTCTTTAATGAACCGACTAATGGCTAAGCTCGCAAGTTTACTTTTCTTTGTCTTTCTCTGTTGTCTGATTATTCCTTTCTACATGTGGCGTGTTTTGAGGTCAGAAACAAAAGATATAGATAAGGTACAATCAAGCACCGTGTGCTTATTTATCTCTATCTCCCATCCCCCTCTCTCGCTCGCTCCCTTTCTCTCCATCTCTCTCTATCTCTCTATCAATCTCCACCCTCTCCCCCACCTTCTCTCTTATCCTCTATCTCTTTCTCCTTCTCTCTCTCTCTCTAACCACTCACCAACTCACATGTAAACACAAGCACATGGAGACAAACACACACAGACAGAAAAACGACACAGGTCATGTGATCATATTTAGAATAGAAAGAATTGATGTTCGTCTCGTTGGTACATGGTAGCTTATTATTTATGAGCGCCCCCCCCCCTCCACACCTCCGTGAACTGTTGATAGTTTTGAAGAAAAACACGGCAACAAATATAATTCTATTATAAGATATTTAGTGGACATCACAGAGCCACTGCTAGACCTAACATTTTACTTAAATTTCAACACTGAGGTGTGCATAACTTTTAAGATTTTTAGGTTTTTCAATCTAAAAAAAAAGTCATTATGTTAAAGATGTTGGAACTAACCCGTAGCAGCAAAATGTATTTTAAAGTTTGAAACTCAACCCTTTCTTCCAAATGTTTGCAAACATTGAATCCAAACGATCACACGAACGCAAGAGTAAAGCGTACAGCTGGTCTTTGAAGTTATTTCAGGTGATATAAGCGCACACAACAACCCCGAACCAACCCACCCACAATAACACACACACACCCACACACACATCTCACACAAAATCCAGTTAGTGAAATCTAAAAATAGAACCCCCCCCCACCCCCCTGCATTGCGAGGTTTGTCGTTGGATAAAAAAACATGATTTGTAAAAAACGAAGAAGGTTTGTTATCCCGATCCTGAATTATAATGAAAGTGTATGACATTAAACATTGCTTAATATTCTAATGACGTTTCAATAAACTTTGACCAGTGGTGTTGCTTAGTGTCTTCCGATTAATGCGACCAAAACATACGTGTGAATAATACAGTTTACGAAGGCTTAACGTCCATTGTTTTAACTTAGCTTTGATTCTTGTGTTTCAGGCTGGGTGGGAAAAAATCGTCGGACGGCGAAATGCCCTACTTGCCGTCAAACTATAAATCTTGACACAAAGACGGGTTGCCGATGACAACACAACCTATCATTTTTCAGGCCCACTTGACCCCCCAAAACATCAGTTTTTCATTTTTATCAAGGGGAAGATGAAGGAACATATGATGTACTGATCTCAAGAAAGAAAATTTGGCGCTAAATGTGATTCTTTAAAAGGAAAATATTGATTGTGCGTTTGGTGTGTTATATTTTCTTTTGTTTTTCTGTAAGGGTTAGTGAAATAAATCTGCGGTGTACAAGAGGTTGGGTCACTAGAGTATTAAAATAGTTTAGGGGAGTTAAGCTTTAAAAGGGGTGTGGGGGGTAGGGGATTGTACTATCGGTAAGATAAGAGTATAAAGGGTTTCTTTCATCTATATCCCGGGGGGGGGGAGTGCTCCAACCCCCGGGAAAGCCAAGTGCCCCCCTGGACCAAAACTATATACCCCCCCCCCAAAAAAAAAAAATATGAGGTTCCCCTCAATCTCAAGTGGTCCCTTGGAGACAATTTCTGAAAGAAACACTGAGAGTATCTATTCTCGATAGGTAAGATAAGAGTATCTATTCACGGCTTTTCAAAACCTCAAATAAGCGTTTCTTAATGTAAGGACGTCAAACTGCCGTGGCTTATACAAACACGTGCGGATGGTCCATTACAGTCTTCCAACAGACTAATTGATTGACATCAGGAATGTTTAAAAGGTGTGTTAGATTATATACGCGTTACCCCTAGTTGTGATTTAGTATAATTTATGTACAGCATTTACACATACATATATGTAAATATAGATATATGTAATATATATGTATACATACATATCTTATAAGAGTATGTGAGTGCTTGCATGTGTGTTTAAATATTGTACATTCCTCCTCATTCCCTTTCTTACTGAAAAATAAAATAAAACATTTTAATAATGAAATCCAACTTTGTAAAAATTGCTTGCATCTTATTGCAATAAAGATTTCAAAATGTCTTGCCTATTAAATTTAATACAAAAGTGTTTAAGAATATTTATTAAATGAGCTATGTTATATTCAAATTATTTCTTTCATGACTGATGCCCATGGTATGACGTATATATAAGCTGTATTCTTCAATATTATCAGTTAAAAGACGTATTGAAATGAAATTTAATGTTAGATATCTTTTTTTACTCGTTAATTACCTTGATATAATTTTTATCTTTTTGTATAATTTGCTAGTGTTTTATATCGTTGGGCCTGCACGAGAAACTTCTTTTTTGTTGTCAATCAAGCTACACAACCTACATAGTTATGAATAATTATGAAAACGCAAAGAGCTTTCTCGCATTAATAATTCTCGTCTCAGTACATCATTTTAATTTTATGTTTTGTACCTTTGATTTTTCAAATAAATATAATTTTTTTATTATTTTTTTTTTGTAATGATTTTCCAGTTTTATTTAAAGAGTGCATAGGACGACTGTAATCTTCCAGCTTATCATCAAAGTCTTGAACAGCCAAAACGCGCGTGGTACTGGTCTAAATGTCTTTACATGTAAAAAAAAAAATAAAAAATATATTATTTTATCTTAAGGATTTAACCTTGAAATAAAAATAAATTCTAAACCTACTCTCTAGACTCTAGACTAACACATGCGCTTCACTTTTTTTTGGACATGGGCCGGTAGTTATAGGCCCATGTGCAGTTAAAGATGTGACATCTATAAAACGACAACTCTCAAACTAAGTTGGTTTATTACCTTTTCCCGTTAAAAAAAAAGATTTATTTCTTATACTTTAAAAAAAATAAAATAAATATCATGACCAGACTCGTCGTCTTGATTTCTCTGTGGGTGACCGCAGTGGTCAGTGTTCCGGATCCGACCAAGATCTGCATGCCAGACACCATCCAGTTTAACTCCATCAATGTAACCTCAGAGGTAAGTGGACTGTGGTTATGTCGGTCGGAGACTACTAGAGACAACTGTTTGTTGTTTTTATGGTAGTTTTGTGTTTGCTTGTTTGTTTGTTAGTTTTTGTTTGTTTGTTTGCTTGCTTATTGGTTTGTTAGCTTGTTTGCTTCGTGTTTTTGTGTGTGTGTGTGTGAGGAATTTTGAATTTACCTGTTATGATGATTTCATTTTTAAAGTTAAAATTTAAAACACACAGCCTGGCATTAAAATAGACTTTCTATAATTAAACTTGGTGATTTTATCATTGACGTCTTCTAGATATTCTCCATTGTGGCATTTGACTTCCCACGCAAGCTGTTCGGCTCCATCACAGGCAATACGAGTGTTGTTGAAGACTTATCAACAGTAAGTCTGATGTAGCCCATCACAAAATTGTTTTGTACTGACCGGTGACTATTTGTGGTAGATAATTTTCCTGAACATCCTTATGTTCTATAAGCAGCGTACCAATAACTAAAACATCTACATGTATTATATAAATATCAGTGTCTTTTGTTTACATACTACAATTTTACATGTACATGTATAAATTATGTCTATCTAAATAGTACAACAAACAACCAATGTGTCAGTGAGTTGAAATGTATTCGCATTGTATATTGCATTCAAATTCATTTGGTAGGCAGTTAAGTTTTCTTTTCTGTTGCAGCTAAAGCAGTACGCGACCGATGCGACGGGGAAATGTGTGTCCTCACCATTAGGTCCCACTCAAATATTCCGTATCGGCCAGCAGTGTTTGCCAGGTTGGTTACTTCTAAACCATACTACGATTCGTGCAATACAATTATCGACACAAACCTCTGAAAATCAGTTTTAGATGATGTCCCTTCATTAGCAGGACACTCCTGACGCCAAAATTCCGAAACACGTGATCGTAATCTTTCCTCTTCTAATTCTTACAATTTTATTGCATAAGTTTTAAAAAAAAGTGAAAATATTGACCAATCAATGTAGTCCAAATATTGACCAATCAATGTAGTCCAACTATTGACCAATCAATGTAGTCCAAGTATTTAAAAACAAATGCTCACATTTTTATGTTCACAGCTTCAGCTGTTTTTCTTGGTGACATCTACATCGGATTTGGAACAAACAGAATACACGCGGTCGGCTTTGAACTCTCACTAGGGGGCACAACCATCAGATACGCTCTGAGCGATCAAGAAAATCAACCCAGCTATCCCATTCTAGTGGGTTACCGCACAGGTAGGTTGAAAATCTAGGTATCCCATCTTAGTGAGATACCGCACAGGTAGGTTGAAAATCTAGGTATCCCATCTTAGTGAGCTACCGCACAGGTAGGTTGAAAATCTAGGTATCCCATCTTAGTGAGCTACCGCACAGGTAGGTTGAAAATCTAGGTATCCCATCTTAGTGAGCTACCGCACAGGTAGGTTGAAAATCTAGGTATCCCATCTTAGTGAGCTACCGCACAGGTAGGTTGAAAATCTAGGTATCCCATCTTAGTGAGCTACCGCACAGGTAGGTTGAAAATCTAGGTATCCCATCTTAGTGAGCTACCGCACAGGTAGGTTGAAAATCTAGGCATCCCATCCTAGTGAGCTACCGCACAGGTAGGTTGAAAATCTAGGTATCCCATCTTAGTGAGCTACCGCACAGGTAGGTTGAAAATCTAGGTATCCCATCTTAGTGAGCTACCGCACAGGTAAGTTGAAAATCTAGGCATCCCATCCTAGTGAGCTACCGCACATGTAGGTTGAAAATCTAGGTATCCCATCTTAGTGAGCTACCGCACAGGTAGGTTGAAAATCTAGGTATCCCATCTTAGTGAGCTACCGCACAGGTAGGTTGACAAGGGTTTTTATTCGGATTTTTCTTAAAGCCAGCTCTACCAATTGGTCATTGTTTTGTTTTTTTTTGTTTTTAAACTATTTGATTTGACATTTGACTGCTCAGATAAGACCTTCACCACAACTTTCCAAAGTGAGCCTAGTCTCGTCATCACACAAACCGATATCTTCACCATCCCGGACCCGTGCCCGCCAGCATCCGTCGTAGGATAACTCAAGTTGTTTCATAGGATAACTCAAGCTGTTTCATAGGATAACTCAAGCTGTTTCATAGGATAACTCAAGCTGTTTCAGGATAACTCAAGCCGTTTTATAGAATAACTCAAGCTTTTTCATAGGATAACGCAGGCTGTTTATAGGATAACTTAAGCTGTTTTTTAGGATAACTCAAGCTGTTTCATAGGATAACTCAAGCTGTTTTATAGAATAACTCAAGCTGTTTCATAGGATAACGCGAGCTGTTTCATAGGATAACTCAAGCTGTTTCATAGAATAATGCAAGCTATTTCATAGGATAACTCAGGCTGTCTTTTAGGATAACTCAAGGTGTTTTATAGAACAACTCTTGCAGTTTCATAGGATAATATATAAATACACCTTGATTTTTGATTATCCATTAATTTTAAGTCACTGTATTACGTATCATTTATCTCACCGTTTTTCTTGTAATATATAAACCCTTTAATAAATGCTTTGATAAAACCTCAAATATTTTTGTGTCAATGCCTTATCTATAGATCAAGTTTAGGGGGTTCCAAGAAAAGTGATAATAAGCAGGGTCGTCTATCCATCCTCAGAGGTGTAATGTAACCCCCCCCCCCAAATAAAAAAAACCCGCTCATGTCTGTGCGGTAAAAAACATTCAAGAAGGATAGTAAGGTACCGTAGGAAGCCACAGGACACCAATTAAGCGTAGACGAAACTTAAACCTGTTTTAATTTTATTTTTTTTAAATGTTCGTGAAAATATTCTTCTCTAAAATATCTTCTTGACGTGTTGCAGTTTTTGAAATTGTAAATTAGTTTCTACTTGTTAGTATGTTTTAACTCGTCTTTGCTGAAAAAAAAGGAAGATTTTTAGCTTCAATTGTTTGTTATATTTAAAAAAAAATTTTCTAATGTTTAATATGTAACTTTTAAATATTGACTACATCTAGCAGCAAATGCTTACAAAATTCATGTTCAAGTTATTTAAAGTTTCATTTAGAGAAAAAACTAAAAAGAAAAATCTGAACTGACCCACTCACCCATTCACTCAACCGCCAGGCAGAGCAAGTCAAACACGAGAATGTGAGCGACAACCGGGCTCCGTAGATCAGGTGAACGCTTCGCGAGAAAGTCTTAAAATGACATTGGTGTAAACATGCAAGAAACGCCCTACGCACACGACTACGCTCCACAAGATGCAAATGGGAGTAGAGAAGATCTCTTTAATACAACGTAGTATTTGACTACTCCTTTGCCATCCTTTGAGCATTGTCTAATCGCCACCCCCACCCCCGACTCCAAAACACATCCCAAAAATCCAACAATTTAAGCTAATGGTCATTATAAGCGAAGAGGGTGGTTGGGGGGGCGGGGTAAAAAACGTTCTTATTTTCTTATCACTCACCACCCTTACCTCCTCCCTCTCTCTTTCTCTCTCTCTCCCTCTCTCTCTCTCTCTCTCTCTCTCTCTCTCTCAACGCATCACACGGGAACTGTTATTTGGTGTCATCAACCCAGATTTGACACACGTCAGTACGAGGGGGACTGAATCAAACTAGCAAATAGGTCACATTTGACAACAACAAAAGTATTTTACAGTGTCCTAAATTGACGAACTCCACGGATTTTCACCTAAAAAGGATTAAAAAAAAAAATTTAAAGTAACATATCTTGTATGGTTTTATGTAGGATAGGAATACATGGCATTCGAAATCTTGAAATCTCTTCCTGACATTTGAGGAGTTTATTTTTTTCTTAACTGCTCTTCATTGATGTTCACGTGCCATGGGCCAGAACTGCTCATTTGTCAGCACTGCCCAATTGGTGTGCAGTTTTCTGGGATGTCGAAGATATCTGTGTGGGTTATCTTCTCCCCAGGGTTTACGTATAGCATTGTGTGAACAGTTACTTTTGTGAATGTTAAGCTTAGAGAGTAGCTGCACTTTACAGATGAGGTTTGTGAATCTTCATGACAAAAAAATCACATTTAGTTCACCAACATTTAACGTTGTAATAATATTCATTTAAAATACCCGATTTAAAGCGTCAATTTTTAAGATAAATCTTAAATGATAATGACATTTTAATCATCATCTCAAACATTAAACGACATCGACATTTTAATTATCATCTCAAACCTTAAACGATATCGCCATTTCAATCATCATCTCAAATCCGGAGATGGTGTCCCTTAGTTGGATGGAATGGACAAAAATAACCAAATTAGGTGACTCTTGCGCCGCCAAGCAAATGATGCTCCCTTGGATTCTTTAAAACAATAAAATAAATTAGTTGGTTTGCAAATATTATTCTTTTTGTATTAGTTGATCATTCTGACACCGGGTCTAAATTCAGAGTTTGCCTTCTCTTAGATGGGATGCCGTCCAAGGCTAACGGGTCCCATCATCACGGGGTGCTTGGGATGTTGGCTTTGGTGGGGATAGACCTCCAGACTACGAGGTATTTGGTTTGATTCAGATCAGACCTCTTGGCCACCCAGCACCCAATTAGCTTTATTAAATTAATAAAGATTTTTACCGATATTAAATACGTATACAGCTCTTGTTTTTCGGGATATTTGATTCTTCCGATCACTGTATGACTAATATTTTAAGGGGTTTTTCCACAGTTACGTTACTTAAAATTAAATAATTTTTTTGATGCAAATCAATATCTTTTATATCATATCGCTTCCAAAGTATTCGGCCTCTACATAACACAATACAGTAACTCTTATTTCTCTAACCGTGTTCTTATCCTAAACGGTGCTGCCATTTAAGTTGCTCCGACCGAGTGGATTAATTGCCAAGTCCACAGCTCAAATGAATGGCCCCTGTGAATATATATTCAAATCTTTTATAAAGTAAGTGTGTCAATAAATAACTACTCTAGGAACATACTGACGACAATAAACTTATTGGACACAGCGTAAAAGAAAGCGCCTGCTAGAGACATTTTTCTGAAACAATAGAGCATACCCCTGTCTTGTCTACTATATAGTCTTCGCTTGCATTTCATCATGTGTCTCTCAGAGACTAATTTTTTATTTCAAAAATATATTAGATAAATCTAGTATGTCACATCAACTCATCTAATGTATTTGACAACAATTCACATCCGTTTCTATGTTGTAGGAATCGTACTGGAGCTTTTGAGGAAAACACACTGTGGCTGGGTCAGCTCAGACAGCTGCTACAGCAATTGGTTAAAAACCAAAGAAAACCCAAAGTAACAACATCGATCTGTCGAAAAGAGATCAATATCTTAGCAACTTAATTAAGGTCAAACGTACACATTGGTTCAGAATTAGTTCTCAGGTCGGGCTAAGTTTTTTTAAATTTGAAAATACAAATTTCTATTGCTGTGCATGGTTCTTGTCCTTTTCCCAAAACCATTCTGGATTTCAAAACATTCCCCCCCCCCCCAAACACTAATCCGATACTAATTAGCTCATAGGTTAGTAGTCGGGCTAAGTTTTTTTAAATTTGAAAATACAAATTTTTATTGCTGTGCATGGTTCTTGTCCTTTTCCCAAAACCATTCTGGATTTCAAAACATTCCCCCCCCCCCAAACACTAATCCGATACTAATTAGCTCATAGGTTAGTTAAGTGCATACATTATTATAAAGGTTTAGCGTCTATTACATTTTAATATTGGATTTTAAAAAGGATGTACAAGCTGTAGATGACATAAGAGAGTTAAGAATAAATTGCAGAAGAGAGAGGAGAGTAAATGACACAGGAAAGTTCGGAATAAATCATTTCATAAATATTTTTGTTTTCTGTAATGTCAAGTATACAAGAAAAAAAATATGTTCAAAATTAAGCAGACGTGACACCTGTGAATAAAGTTTAGGTAAAGTAGACGTGACACTATATATATAAGCTTGAAGCTAATATAAACGTGACATTTATTCATAACCTTTAATCTAAAGTAGACGTGGTATCTATGAATAAATTTTAAGCTAAAGCAGACGTGACACTATGCATAAGCTTTAAGCTTAAGCAGACGTTATACTTATACTTAACCATTAAGCTAAAGTAGGGGTGGCACCTATACACAATTTTTAAGCTAAATCAGACTTAAGACATATACAAAAACGTTAAGATAAAGTAGACGGCACAGCCATTACCTAAACGTTAAGCTAAAGCAAACTTGAAACTATGCATACGCTTTAAGCTAAGGTAGACTTGACACTATGCATACGCTTTAAGCTAAGTTAGACTTGACGCTATGCATACGCTTTAAGCTAAGTTAGACTTGACACTATGCATACGCTTTAAGCTAAGGTAGACTTGACACTATGCATACGCTTTAAGCTAAGTTAGACTTGACACTATGCATACGCTTTAAGCTAAGGTAGACTTGACACTATGCTTACGCTTTAAGCTAATGTAAACTTGACACTATGCATACGCTTTAAGCTAAGTTAGACTTGACACTATGCATACGCTTCAAGCTAAGTTAGACTTGACACTATGCATACGCTTTAAGCTAGGTAGACTTGACACTATGCATACGCTTTAAGCTAAGTTAGACTTGACACTATGCATACGCTTTAAGCTAGGTAGACTTGACACTATGCATACGCTTTAAGCTAGGTAGACTTGACACTATGCATACGCTTTAAGCTAAGTTAGACTTGACACTATGCATACGCTTTAAGCTAAGGTAGACTTGAAACTATGCATACGCTTTAAGCTAAGGTAGACTTGACACTATGCATACGCTTTAAGCTAAGGTAGACTTGAAACTATGCATACGCTTTAAGCTAAGTTAGACTTGACACTATGCATACGCTTTAAGCTAAGTTAGACTTGACACTATGCATACGCTTTAAGCTAAGTTAGACTTGACACTATGCATACGCTTTAAGCTAAGTTAGACTTGACACTATGCTTACGCTTTAAGTTCAAGCAGAATTAACACTAAGCATACGCTTTAAGCTAAGGCTAAGACAATATGCATACGCTTTAAGCTCAAGTAGACGTAAAGCCTCTAAATAAACTTTAAGCTAAAAAAAAATTGACACTATGCATAATCTTTAAGCTACTGATCAACATAATCATCTATCATATTATTTTTGTTTTCGTTTCATCAAATGTTTTTCTGTGTGCAGATTTTTCAGAACTTGCTTATGAATACTTTGGAGTATTCATGCAACCCCTTGCAACTTGTTTCCACTTTCCCATTGGGTAAAGACAGCCCTGTTTAAGAGCCCCTGATCCACAAAGCGTTCTAGCTTAGAGCACTTGCAAGTTTTGAAAAGAATGTAGTCATTGACTTTTGTTATATGTTCAAGGGTTCCATACAAATATGTATGTCTTTTTTTTAAGTTATGAGAACGTTCCTTTTTCTCTAACCACTTGCTTACTTTAGCCGACAACCACAGCAGACGTGAATTGTTAAGTTGCCTTAATGTGTGGATCCAAAAGACACATTGTATCACGGTGGATATTCGCCAAGCTATCCAACAAAAAACCTTGTGGGCCGCAATTTTTCAGATATCTTACAGATATCCCTTGGTTAATCTTAATATATTTAAGATAACTTAGA